TAAAGATATTTTATAAGTACAATTATTTCTCTTAATTAGAACTTTCATTCTCCTTCGCCTCCTCAAATGTCACTAGGACCACTTTTGAGAAGGGTGAGGAGTGGACCAGTGGGTATGGGCATATGTTTGGCTGTGGTATGGCAAGAAACATAAACTACAGCTGATAGGAAACTGCTAACATTTTCTGGGAGAGAAGACCACTTTCTCCTTTCCCTTCCCCCACTGAGCCTCATTTCCTGAATGCTAGGATAATTTTAATATTCCTCAATGTGAAAAGCTGATTATATGTGACCCAATAGCTAGAATTCTCTAGGCCAGCTCTCTTCCATCTTCTTATGTAACTTTGCCATGCCCCTCAGTTGTGACTTACAACCCCTGCCTAAGAGTCCTATCATAGGATGTTCCTAAACAAAGAACGGCAATGACCAAAATGTGGCAAATCATGTTAAAGTTCTGTGATGTGAAAAGATATTCATTTGGAATTCAACTGATACCAACAAATTTAGCTCCCAAGTGAAAAGAAGTGAATTTGAACCCCAGATTTCCAGAAATCCCCATTCTTACTATTCACTCCAAATCTTTACAAAGCTCTCGAGCCTTTAGATTCCTTTTTCTTTAATGTGAAACAGAACGCCTGCAGCAGGTAATGCCGACAACCAAGATACATTTTATGCAATCTCTCTTATTGCATGTTATAATTAGAGGGGTTAGGATACACTAGTTCTAGATATTTTCTACCCTAAAATATACCAACAGTCACCCTTGGCTGCCCTGTAGAGCCTGTGGAGCTTGCAGCTGTGGGATAACCATGATTCTGCATCAATGGCAAGGCTGATATCTGCTTTCATTTATGAGAAAGATGACTCTGGCTCTTTTCCTTGCAGGATAGTCTTGAAAAATGTAGCCAAAGTGAAAATATTTCTAAAGATGAAAGTTTGTCACTGAATGATCCTGAACGCATGGTCCTCCTTTGTGTCTTGTGCAACCCACAACCACAGTGCCCTGGCTTTCTGATGGGATCCAGATCAACTTGCAGCTCAGAGGGAGTCAAGGCTTCCCTACGCTGCCACCAGAGCTGCCATACTGCGTTCCTTCTGGCTGTAAGCCAGCTGAGTCGCTCCTTTGATAAACAGCCTATGTGGGGAACTCTACAGTGTGAGAAGCAACATAGTCTAACAGACGAGGGCTTCAGTCCAACACAGAATTTAGACATGTGTGTAACTTGGAGCCCATGAGTAGTCTTATTGACTGCAACAGGACTATTCATATGCTTCAAGTTACATGTTTAAGTACTTTGCTGGATCATAGCTAAGGCCCTACCAAAATCAAGGTCCATTTTGGTCAATTTCACAGTCAAAGGATTGTAAAAATCGTAAATTTCATGATTTAAGCTATTTAAATCTGAAATTTCACGGTGTTGTAATTATAGGGATCCTGACCCAAAAAGAAGTTGTGTGGGGGGGTCACAAAGTTATTGTACTGGGGGTTGCGGTACTGCTACCCTTACATCTGTGCTGCTGCTGGTGGTGGCGCTGCCTTCAGAGCTGGGCAGCTGGAGAGCAGTGGCTGCTGTCCAGGAGCCCAGGTCTGAAGGCAGAGCTGCTGCCAGCAGCAGTGCAGAAGTAAGGATGGCATGGTATGGTATTGCCACACTTACTTCTGCGCTGCTGCCTTCAGAACCGGGCCCTCAGTCAGCAGCCGACATTCTCTGTCTACCCAGTTCTGAAGGCAGTAGCACAGAAGTAAGGGTGGCATGATATAGTATTGCCACCCTTACTTCTGCACTGCTGCTGGTGGGGCGCTGCCTTCAGAGCTGGGTGTCTGGCCACCAGCTGCTGCTCTCCCGCTCCCCAGCTCTGAAGGCAGCGCAGAAGGAAGGGTGGCAATACCGCGACCCCCCCCCCAAAAAAATAACCTTGTGACCCCCCCCTGCAACTCCCTTTTGGGTCAGGACCCCCAATTTGAGAAACACTGTGAAATCTGTATCGTATAGGATAAAAGCACACAAAAGACCAGATTTCATGGGGGGAGACCAGATTTCACAGTCGGGGCTGTGAATTTAGTAGGGCCCTAATCATAGCTTAAGGATAGGTCTGGGAACAAGAAACTCTTTGCCCACCCAAAAACGCTAAGGCTGACTCAGAGGGTATACCTGCACAGCAATGAGAAATGCGATTGCAGCTTGGATAGGAGGCATACCTGCACAAGCTTTACCCGCACTAGCACCGCTAAAAGTAGCAATGTAGACGTGGAGGCACAGGCTTCAGCATGGACTAGCAGTACGAGCGGGTCTCCAGGGTGCCATTGTGCTTGTACAGCCCACGCTGCTGCATCTACACTTATTTTTAGCAATTTTCACATGGCTAAAGCTAGCACTGGTATGCCCACCATAGCTGCAATCACATCTTGGATTGCAGTGCAGACATACCCAGAGAGTTGCCATCCCAGTTTTAAGTAATCTGTCTAAGGTCTATCTCATATGGCCCCCTTACTATAGAGCGTAGCACCTCACAATCCTCTAATGCATTTAGGTGTGTCCTTACAACAGAATGAACTCAAGTGACCTAACTTTGAGTTACTTCCTTCCAGTTAGCCTATCACAAGAGAGAACAATAACACCCCAGAGTAACAGTCGAGTGCTGAGGGAGGGACTGTAGTGTCCTGCGTTCTTACGGTGCTCTACTCACTCCTTTGGTGAGCTAAAACTTCTGGGAGCACATGCCATGGTCTGTACCGCTTCAATAAACTGCACCATTCTTTTCACAGTGTACCGTGGGAGCATTTGCCTGTCCCTTCCGGGGATCTTGAGTGGAAATGGTATGAACCCAGCAACTCATTACAGTAAACCAGTTCCAGCATGGCACAGATTTCTGCCTGCTGCCTTCTTTCCAACTGGTGACAAAGTCTGGCTCCAACTGGGACCTATGAGGCAGGGAAGTGCTATTATTCCCATTTACAGACAGAGACTGAGGGTCTGTCTACACTGCAATCAGAGGTGTGGCTGCAGCACACATAGACATACCTGAGCTAGCCTGAATAACAATAGCAGTGACGCTGTGGCAGCCTGGGCTGCCTGGGATGGGATTGTACAACCTGTGCTGCCACAGCGTCACTGCTATGGTCTTTCAAGCTAGCTAGATCACAGCTAGCCCTGGTCTGTCTACAGGGCTGCAGTCACACCCTTCACTGCAGTGGAGACACACCCTTGGCAGCTTTCCCAAGGTCACATAGTGAGTCTGACAGAGAAGGGAACTGAGCTCATGTCTACCAAGCGCCAGGCTGGCACCCTAACCACTCAGCCATTCTTGGTCTCTGGTAATGAAAGAGGAAATCCTAAATACGTTCACTCGTGTCATAGCACTTATCTCTAAGGGTTCGTCTACACTTGGAGCTAGGGGTGTGATTCCCAGCTCGCATAGACATACTCAAGCTAATTTTCATGAAGCTAGCATGCTAGAAATAGTAATGTAGCAGGGGAAGCATGGGCAGTGGCAAACGGTGGCATGGGTTAGCCGTGCCAAGTACAAAGCTGCCTGAATCCTCTGGGTACGTATTCAGCGCAGCTAGCCTGCACGGCTGCTCCCCTGAGCAATTCTGCAGGCATTTTCACAGTTTAGCTGGGGAATGAGGCAGAGTGAAATAGTCATCTCTGGCTCCTCCCATTCCCTGTGGCCATACCTCCAAATACCCACAGAACCCAAAGGCATCTTGTTTATGTGGAAGAGCTTACATGTATTCAGGGATAGGGGTATGATGCTGCTTAGGCTTTTTTCCTTGCCTGCTTTCTGGCCAAATATGGCCGATATCTGTGTGCCTTCCATGCCCAACATCTGAGGACACGACTTAGCCCACAGCCTGGGTGTTGCACTCAGCTTGCTAGGATAAAGTTTTTCTTCTTTTAAAAAAAATCTAAACAAAAAAGTGTTTGTATATCGAGGAGGGATAATTTTGGCCGTCTCTGCTTCAGGGCATAGAGAAACGTTATTCACCCATGCACAACATATAATTCAGCCTAAGTGACAGGCTCTGCTCTGGAGAAGCCCTAGACTGAGCTGGCTTACTGAGTCAATTACTGCTTATTCCCAGGGAGGAGGGGGGAGAGTGGGCTAGATGGAGTAGAGGTGGCTGCCAAAGAGGCATGGGGAAATTTACTTTGTGTCAGCCTGCATGACACAGTACCTCATCTGTGGATAAATGTAAATCTGCTAGTTCTTTTTCATAGGCACTAAAATGTACAATCTTCACCATTTCCAAAACGGGGGAAAAAAAATCAGGACCGCCTTAGAAAGCTACCTTATATTTCAATCAGTCCTCTTTCAGAACAGTCATTTAGGGTAAATACCTCTACTGATCTACAGCCCAACTATAATATTTACTATGGCCCGAATCCTGAATTCCTTATTTAGGCAAGACTCCTGCTAAAGTCAATGGGAATTTTGCCTGAGAAAGGACTGAGTAAAAATGGAGTAAGAATATCAGAGTTTGTTCCCTTGTTTTTCTGCCTAAAGCACCAATTACTGTTCAAAAATAAAATAAATACCCCTCCCCCCCAGCCAAAAGCCAACCCCTAATAAATTAATATTGAGAGAATCTCAACAAAACAAGAGTAATTCCCAGTGAAAGAATCTGGAAAAAGTCAAAAGAGAACATCTCAAAATAAATGAAGTACTTATTGCTGAAAAATGAGCTTAAATATATCTCAGCATACTCTAAAGCTCAGAATTTACTGCATCATTCATGCCTTCTCCAGTAAGTTTCTTATCTCTCGCTTGGTATCACAACAAGGGATTCTGCATATTCTGTATGAAATACAACAAGACTGTGATTTTTGCAGTAATAAACTCCACACATGCATGACAAATCCAAGCATGCAAAAATGTTTAACATCCCAATTCACAGATACTTTGGGGACAAAATCCGATTATGAGTTATATGCCACAATAAATAGGGCTCAACGTTTCATAAAGCAATTTATAGTTCATAAAAATGACAAAATGTACCTGTCAGACAGAACGCGGAGAGTAGATCTCTGTGCTGCCTGCTGGAAGAAAGGGCAGAGATGTTTATTTTATATTCTGACTTTAAAATTACGAGCGCAATCAACACTTAAAAAATGTGTTACACACATTTCTGTCACGTGTCCAAATTTTAAAGTACTAGTAAAGTAGCAGAAAGCGTCTAGTAAAATGGACATTCCAGTCTAGTAAATGTAAGAAGACTTTGTTAAGTACGCCATAAACCAGAGGATTGTCAAAGCAGTGCACAGTATCTGAGGTATGAACTACTCTATTTAGATGATTTTCTGCAGGTCTCTGAAAACCCTGCAAGGTTTGATTTTCTTCCCCCTCCCCCCCCCAAATCCTACCCCCTCCTTTACCATTAGTCTCCTCCCATTCTTGCCACAGAAACAAACATCATATATTGGGTTCCTTTTGCGATGGAGCCTGTAGCTACAATTATAAATTTAGCAAAGACGGCCAGAGCGGCTGCAGGCTTTTCAAGAGTACTGCCATGATAATTTCCTGGCAACTTTTGACTACACTGTACAGGATTGACCTGTTGCTGTTTTGGCTCTCAATTCTTGCCTAGTACAAGTCCTTGAATGGGGTGGGGAAGCATGGTGGTTGTTATTATGTTAACTGACGGGTCTAGGAATAGAAATCATAGCCTTTCAAATTCAATAGGACCCACAAGCCTATCACTGAGCTAGCTTGCCTCTTTATTATTATTCTTTCCCCCACTTGAATCATTTCAAGTGGCTTGACTCATGGCTTCAGCACAGTAACTAATTGCAAGTTAAGATAAAATCTATAATGTTCTGATAATACACTTTAAGGCCTTGACGATAATATAATTGTATATGTTTAGTTTGTGCCCTCTCTTTTAGGATTAGCGAGACGGCACAACAGAAGCACATGGTTAAGTGGTATTTAGAGTCAAGGGGCGGAGTGTTAAATATGAATTTTGCCTTTGCAATTATCAGTTTAGTTTTGAAATAGTTCTCAGACTGATGTTTGGCTTTTGAGGCTGTCAGGGGTGGAGTGCCCTGGAGGGAGCATGCTCAGCATTTGGTGGGAAGGAAGTGACTTGTGCAGTTCATCAGAAACCATTCTAGCCAATCAAAAGCTGTGTTGTCAGGATGAAAAGGGAAACCCAATAAGTGGCCTTGACATGCAGGGTATAAGCAGTGAGAACAATGGAGTGGATCCTTAGGGTTCAGGCAGAAGTACAAAGCTTCTTTTCCCATGGGAGAAAAGGAAGGTTTCAGTCTTATTTTGTGGTGAGCTCTGGCTTGCTGCACAGTAACTTGACAGACCAAAACCGAATTTCTGCTCCGGGGGCACGACCAACCTGGAATGGGCTGCACAGCCTTGATTATTTGTATACAGGTAACTCTGCCTCGGTCGTCAGGGGACTTGTGCCCTCTGTCCCTGTGGCCTGCCTCTCAGCTACAGCTGATAACTTTCTTAGCGTCTCACACAACTCAACAGACTACAACTTGAAAATATCATTCCAAACTATAACTCGGGTGGGGCTTACAAACTGGTCATCTACCTCTGCCCAACTTAGTTTACAAGACAACACCTAAATCTTCATTTCTGTGAGTGGAGAGTCGCTAATCTACAATGGGTAAAGCCTAGCATTACACGTTACCATCACTGGGTGGCATACTAACTGTGGAGAATTAGGTGACAGTGTCTTGGGCTATGATTCCCAGAACTCGTTGTCTGAAAGTCTCCACAGATATGTTAACCTCCACACTGTAATGGAGGCTGACACTCTCACTGCTGATGAGAGCCATCCTTCTGGTGGAGCGATCCTTAACACCTAGTGGCTATGTGAGTCTGGCTATGTAGGCTTCTTTCATATACAAAACTAGCCACAAATCTATCATTTTACTGGGAAGCCATTCCCCTTTTCTGATCCCTTAAAAAGAGTCTAAAAATCTTGACCCTTGCGTAACGATTCACTAGCCCTGATTATCATCAAGAGAGTGCCATGAGGCTTCCTTTGGAGTAGATGGATGAGAAGAGAATGAAGGAAGGTTAAAGATTTGGCTTCAGTGGAAACTAGAGTTTACGATAGGAATAAAGAAAGGACTATCCTTAGACCCTGTTGTTAGGAATAATTAGGAACAGGCATCTTCTTGTGATTCACAGCCAGATCACTCACCTGTCTGGCACATATAATAGTCCACATCTGCCTATATGTTTATACAACTTCTAGCATAATGGGCTCTCAATCCTGACTGGCGATTTGTGTTACCGTAATAGAAATCCACTGGATGCTACCGATAGAAATAAGAATAAATATCCATTAAGGGGAAAGCTAGAACAAGGAGCCCAATACTCAGGGCTTAAAGGCTGGATAAGGTAGTTTGGAGAGCACTACTGTAAGCTGCCACACAAACACAATTGGTCTCAGCATAGCACAGCTATTTTTATTACCCTCAAAAACTTGGATGACTAGCAAGTGACAGCCTATTCGAAAACATTCTAGAGGATCCCTGATGCTTATTCTTTTAAGATACTAAGGGGTGCGCCCTTTCTGAGCACCCCGGCAGGCATTCTAGGACCGGAGGGATGGAATAAGAGCTGGCTGTCCATCCTGTGCACTGGTAGTTCAACTTGCCCAGGGTATAGTGGCTTGTTCTAGATAGGGATGCGTTTGGGATTGGTGACAGGTACTCTGGTCAAATGACTTTGCCACATCAGGAATATCAGGGAACCAGGATATGAGATGAGTTTTTCCTAGAGCGCTATCTGTCACCAGATGTTTTGTCAGTAGATGTGGAAACCAAGGAAACTCTATATCCCATGTCCCAAACACCAGGACTGTCTGGTCAGGATGAAAGTTTCCTTCTTTGCCTAAACCTTTTGCAGGACTCAGCGAATGAATGGGAAGGGATGGAATGCTGTATGTCAGTGGGCCTCTCAAGCTAAATAAGAACATGCCCATGGCATAGGCTTGCAGTTTCTAGTACAAGAAACAGAATCTGGGGAATCTGATATTTTCTACTATCCGCTATTGGAGATGTCCCACTGGGAGTACACTGTCTGAAAAGTCTTTGGGGTTAAGACTCACTTTCCTGGACACAGCTCCAGACATATCAGCCAGTCCACTCTGAGATCCTGCAAGATGGACTGCCTTGATGGACAACAGGCACTGCGCCTTCCAGTGTATTAGAATAGACACCACCAGAACAAGTCTCTCTCTTCTGGCACATCGTTGTTGGACAAAACCTTTGCTGTGAGAAAAGTGCCCTAAGGGCTAAGCCAGTTATCGCTCTGATGGTCAGGAGGTGCAGATGGGCATACTGGTTACAGTGGAGTCATGCAGTCTCTTCAATCACTGCCATTATGGCTAAGAGGAGGAGAGAGAGATGGGTCTCTGACCATTCTAAATGATACCTGTAGGGGGGTAGAGGCGTGTCTAGTACCCTTTCCATTCCCTAACTTCCAAGAACAGGGACTATTTTGAGAGAGGAAAAGGGCTGGCTCTTTTCCCTTCAAGCCTAGACACAGGCTGAGCTCAGCAGAGATGGCTGAAGGATGAAGATGGGCTGGACAACGGGGCTCTTTATTCTATTGTTTATGTTCTTATACTGTGCTCATCAAGGTGATATCTGAATGCCTCATATCTCCTGCTCCCTGACTGCACCTGCATCCAGTCCTCCAGGCTGGCCCTCGAGGACCCTACTGAGGTCAGCCCATCTGCCTGTTGCCAGCTTTGGAAAGGTAATCGATCCCAAGTGGTGGCCCTTTCTCGGGAGCAGAATGAGTCCAGAGAGCAGGCAGGGTAGAAAGAACCGAAAAAAGGAGAGGATCATTGCTGACCTGCAGGTTCCGCATTCCTGTCTGAGCCTCTTTAAGGATGCTGCTGCCTCCATGCTGATCTGTGACCTGAGAATAACTCCCTCTGAGACTGTGAGGCAGAGAGAGACTGCAGAGTGCAGGGCAAACAAGGCATGGAAAGCTTCCTGTATTCCAGCAAGCGAACAGTTGCAGACCATTTTAGATTGCTGGGGCCCCTTCTCACAGAAATAAATGTTTGCAATGACCATTTGAAAATATGTTTGAATACAATTATTGAAAATTTCAATTTGCTTTTCATTTGAAGCTTCTAACAAATTCCCCCCTCTCACCTGGGTCAAGTTGGTATGATGCAGAAGAAATTGTACAAGGCAAATCATTTGTTGCTTGACTGTAGAACATTCTACCAATGAGACTATAAGAACAGCTCTGTAATTTATCATGCTTCTAAATATGCCAGTATTATCTGCTTAACGATACAAGCAAAAGGGTAGTATTTAGTACCACCTATTGCCTGCTCCACTATTTTTAATAGTTTGATTTTGATTGTGCCATTTAATTTGCATTTCATTTTACATCGTTAACAACTTTACTGAGGACAACTCATCATCCATCAAGAAAGAAGATGAGAATATGTTAAATAATTCCTGAAAGTAAGTGATTGCGTTGGTTAAAAGAATAAGGACTGAGAAACTAAAGTTTGTCACTGAGAGAATTTGAAGACTTTCATGATTTATCACTATAAAAAAATACAGTGGGTGTTTTGGCTTAATATTCTAATTTTTCTGTTGATAAATAATTAAACAATCAATTATGGGCCAGACTCAGATACCCTTACTTACAGTGAGTAAAATCTTACTCCTCTCATAGTCACAGAGTAAGGGACACAACATAAATAAGGGTCTCAAGCCAGGGCCGCCGAGAGCGGGTTCGGGACCCGGTGAAAATTTTTTTTCAGGCCCCCCAGCAAGGGCGGACTGGCTAAACAGGGCCGACGAAAGGGGTGGGAAGCCGGGCCCCGGGCCCCCTTCCGGACCGCCAGGCCCTGGTAATTTCCCCGCCCCCCTCGTCGGCCCTGGTCTCAGCATTTGGCCCATTGAATTTAAACTTTACTGCTGGATAGGAAACAGCAAAGTAAAAAATCACTTTGGTGACTCATGTAAAGAAAGTTGAAAAACTAGCCACAGTACGTTAGATGAATTACTCAGTTTCAATACTTCAACGGTCG